GAAAATCTAGTCATTAGATTTTCTTTATAATTTGCATGCAACAGGCTTGTAACGATTCTCACAAGTTAACACCATTTTGCTAATAATTTAACAGAGAGATCTTTATTTATCCCTTGTTGACGGTTAACTGGAATATCTAGAATTATCTTTGTTAAAGTTCAATTATTTTCAATACTCCAGTTAATTATTTCCTAAAGTATTTTCGTGCCAAATTTAGTGAAATTCTAATGAGTGGTTCTGGAGAAATAGGCGTATTTCTGAGAGTGCAATTTTTCATTCAATCACAATCTTTTGACTTACTATGCATGCGTTGCATTTAACTGGGTTCTTTCAGTAACAAAGTAAAAGTTGAGAATTGCTGGGTTCTTTGCATTGTTACCTTTTCTAACATACATTTGTAATAAAAGACTAAAGCCATCAATACACTGCGTTCAATTATAGAGAAAAATAGCTCAGATAGTGCGGGTGTTGAGTAAATAAAATGGTCGCTCTATTGACGGCATGTTTGTTTTTTGCAATCCTTGCGCACATGTTGGATTGCATCAGCAAAAGCACGCGTGAAAATTGTGTTCAGCCACCTTAAGTCATTGTAGGCCAGTCAGTGGTTTATTTTTAGGATTATGTTTGAATTTGATCAACTTGTGTAAACAATATTGTAGAATACCCTTTCCTCAGGGTCTTGTGCTGCTGCATTAGAAGAGGAATACGTTTCCACATATTTTTTGGCCTCATATAAAAGGGTGTTTTTTTTTAGCGGTTTTTCGTATCTAGCGAAGCAACCTCGTCCCCAGGGGGGAAAGCCCTAATTCCCGGAACCATTAGTTAAATTTATGAGGTAAATATGAGGATACATTAAATCTGAAGGCTGACTGACGCATCCTCAATAAACTTTTCTCATTGAATGTCTCCATTCAGTTTATTCGCTCTTGATTTCTATGTGTGGTAGTAATCTCAAGCTCATAATCTAATAATTTGTTTAATAGATAACAGGTTATAAGTAAGAGAATTTGTGAGTGCTTGGTTAAGTGATACCTCAGTCATTTGTTTCATGAATGCTGTGTAGGTGGTCGCTTACAAGAGGTCAGACCACAGAGGGTTCAAATGTACCCTTGGTACCATTTGGCATTATTTTGGCAAGTTAAAATCAGATAAAAAGACCTAAATAATAAGGAGACCTAAATTAATCATTCTAAGTTATTTATCAAAATCTGGTTACTATCCCACAATAAAGAAAAACGCAAGGCAGATGGACACAGCAAATGGTTTTACAGCAAAAAACACAAGTCAATCCATCAAAGTTGAAAAAAAATATCACTAACATTCATCATTCATTTATTCATCAACATTTACAATTTGCAACAGTCCAATTTCTACATTTTTATTTCCATTAAAACTACTGTATAAAGAATTAGCTTCCACGACAAGCAACTACACCACATGCAGAAATAACTTTTTGAGTTATTTGCAAAGGACAGCAGGTTACTGTAATAGGCTTCTAAATATTGAAACTAGATGCACTAACAAAGGAAACCCTGATAAGCACCTAAATAATGTCTTAACTCTTCTTAAAATATCAACTGAAAATGGATATTTCTAGGAATCTCCCAATTAACCAATGTCTAGAAGAAATTTGAACAGCAAGGCTTATGGATAATTTGTATGCATGTCAAAGCACTGATTTTAAAAGTACTACCTCACTCCTAAGTATTCCTCACACCAACTATAATTCATTATTTTGTTCAAAACTTAATATGCTTATTTTAAATTCCAGGGTAACCCATATCTTTTTCTTTCCAATTTTAAATACGTAATTAGGAAGTCAAACTTCCCTTAGGAAACATGTTGTAAAGGACAGTTCATCAAATCCATTAAGACAGAATAATTTCTAGCTCTAACTCTAACTGTATTTTAATACTGACATCTCTCTTAATCATGCTCAATGATGAAGCTACTTGAACCAAAAGCAAACTGAGCAAACATGATGTAACTGAGGGCCTCTTCATATGAGCCCAGTCAACTGGGCTGGCTTGGTTTCCGAGATTTCGCCTCCACACTCTTTCCTTCGTAAAAATTTTGATGTGTTCATATAAGAAGCCGGGCTGACCCAGTTACCGAGATCTCGGTTTTTGCGACCAAGATGTCGGTAAGAGTGATGAAAATTTTCCCATATGAACACTCCAGCCCAGGACACTGGGACGAAACTTTTTAGACAAAATAGCTTCGTTTTTGCAACATAGCAGCCTAAATGGCATAATGTTTATCTTTTATGTATTTCCACTTTAGGAGTATGCGAATTTGCTTTATTAGTAAAGTTACAAGAGTCCACAAAGCTATGATAGCTGTGAGCTATACACTCAAGTTTATGTTCCACCATTTTGGTTGTGTTTCTTGGATTCCATCTTGGTTGACCGGGCTGAAATTTTCCAGGCATATAAACAGACAACAAATTTATCCCAGTAACCGGGCTGGAGCTCATATGAAGAGGCCCTGAGAGGCAGGCCTGTGGCTGTCCAAACATCGTTTGTTATTGGCTCATGAAACAATGCATAAATGATCTAAACAATGCCCCTATCTCTTGAAACAACAGAAGCAACAGGTTCCCAGACACAATGAAAATTCAGGTCTGGAAGAGGTGCTGGACTACTCAACTGAGAGCCAATGATGGCAACCATTTTTTCAACAATCCAAGCAATATATCTACACTGCACAACTACATTTGAAACCAAGTTGACAGTTAACACATAAAAGCTTGTGTCACTTGAATATGTGTTTTACTTTCATCTCTATGCTGTCTGCAATCTAAAGAATCCATCAAAATGGCTGCAGAAAAACTCAAACTGATCAATGGCCACACTGAAATCATTTCAAACACAAAAAGATCAAAACTATTGAATCAAATATTGGCTCAGTTTTTACAAGAGTTTTACATGTACAAATTATTTGATTTTAAATTTCTTAATATTATTGACCTAGCCTGCTTGCAGGCTGTTATTGAACTTCTGTTCTGATGCTTAAACATTCTTGCTCTGTTTTGCCACTTTTTTCCACTCAATAAATCATAAAATTTACATTTTGTTTGGCCAATGTTTTCCCAGTGACCAAGTTTCGGTAGTTTTGCTGAAAATACACACAGTCTGGGTTATTATAAAATGCACCTTGAATGAAAAACTTCGGTCCATATAGTAAAATATCTATTTAGTTATTTAATCAATAAATTCAAGGTCTAAATTTTTTTGTATCGTTATTGCACCTAATGACCTGGAACATTATAGCTTTACACCACAGCAAGAAGGCCTTCCATGTCGTGAAGGCTCTGTTAACTCTAATGCCTCTCTTTCAACCTCTCCTGAAGCAAACCAAATTGCAAATTTACAGTTAGCATGTATTCAATGATTCAATTTGGAAAATGCAAACTAAAATGTTGTTAAAGCTAAATGGTGTCAGTACCAGTACCCACTATTAAGCCAAGTCAAGCTGATATTTGACTGACATCTGACCAGTTGTGGGTACAAATCCCACCGAGGTCAAAGAATTTTTCTTTCTTTTGTGTGGTCCAACCCCAGATCCTTTCTAGTGCTAATGCCATAGGAAAGGAGGAACATGTTTGGTCTGGTTAGTCCAGGATGAAGTAGTTGATTGAGGAATTTGTCTTGGCCTTCTAAATGATANAATTATGGTTTCCATTAGACAGCTGGCAGTCAGTTGTTTCTATTAAGGTCCATCAAGTGATTATCTGTAAACATGAACAGAAAGGAGCTGTATGAAGGAGAAGGAGGTCACATCCATATCTTATCCCAATCCCTAGCTTGTCTAAAGCATCTTGGCTCCCACTCTCTGCTTAACTTTGAGAGACTGCTGGTAGTCTAAGTTTCAATGAATTCTGGTTTCTCTGGAACCAAATGAACTATCCGTAAAAATTATAGAAATGTCTGTATTATGGAGACATCTGGGAATAAGAAGGTTTTTGATTGTAAAACATTTACTTCAAAATATTGAAATTATTAAAACTCACCCATATCCCTAAAGTGACACATTTGTTGCCCACAGTGACTTTCTTGGCACCAAATGCTGCTCCTATTGTCTATTGGAAAACATATGAAATAATAAAAAACAGTAAAAAATTATAAAGTAAATATATCATATAATTATTATAAAATAAAACCTAGAAGGTTGGGAAAACTTGAAAAATCTGCGGAAACACTCAACTGTGGCTTGTGTTCCTACAGCATTTCTTGTTCTGCCAAACTTCCATTTGTACTCTTCACATTCTTGGGCAGACACAGAATTTAAGGGAAGGGGATTCAAGATATGGACTGCTGAAGGCAGTCCCCTGTAAGGGGGTGCGGGAGTATCCTTCCCCATAAAATTTTTTAAATTTGAGGTTCTCAGAAATGTGATTTCTGGCATTCTGAGGCCAATTCAGCGAGTTATAATGTCTAAATGTTTTTTTTAATTTAGGCATTTTGACCGAACCCCCCTTAGATCCATCCCAGATATTACCTACATGTAATGTTTCCTGCAGAACTCCTTTTGAATTTCCCATAGGTGAACACCTTTGGGACCAGAAAAACTGGCCACACAGCAAATGTGTGTAATTTATAGGAACTAAAATTCTTAGCGAGGCAATATCAGAAAAAAAAAACTTCTTTTGTTGATTTATTTTTTGATGCATAGCCTCTTATGGGAACTTGAAATGAATAAGTCAGTTCGAATTTCTTACCCAGGCAAATGCCTCAGTTTACATGTTACCAGCTTCAGTGTACAGCCCTTAAAATATATGAGCAACCTGTGTCTGATCACTCGTGGTGTTCATTAATGGGGGTTCAACTGTAATAGAGTTTCTTTGGAGATGGCCATGGTCATGGTCACAAGGGTTAATGGGAAATTAAGTGGATACAAGAAGAACTGAGAAAAAAAAAAACTTCCGTGTATACAGGGTAGAAATTGAGGCTAGACTGACACATTTTAATTAATACTATTTTTAAAACACGCAGCTATCAAATCTAGAAAACGAAAGCACACCCGCTAGTGAAGAAAAATAATTGTGTTGATATGGATTTAAGTGTTTAAGTAATTAACAGCACTAAGGGACTTAAAGTTCAACAACAGTTCAAAGTGAAGTCTGTTAAGCTTAATAAAAGTGAATCGATTAAAAACGTTGGTCTTAATTCAGCTAAGAAACGCCACTGTTTCCTTGCCTTCAACCGGACAACGAAAAATGAAATTCGTTATTACATTATTCTGTTTACTTTACAGTTATGTTAATCTTACATTCTGGTAGGGAACACTGTCGTTGAACCTGTGATGTAAATATCTTTCCACTAAGCTTGTTTTACCACTGTATTCCTTCCCCAGAAGAACAACCTTCGCATCTACTTTGGACCCCATCCAGTATTAACAATTCGGCACATACATCGCAGTTGTCTCGGCTTGATAGACTCCTGGGATTGACTGTTCCAGGAAACGACAAGATGCAAGAGCTAGTGCACAAAATGTCGCCTCACGAGTTATTTCCGTCACATCATTGCTGGATGCCCGGCCTCACTCCCTGGAAAACGATCGTGAAGGACTGGAAACTACAACGCCTGGTGAAGTTTGTGCCTGTCGTGCCTGTCTTTGTTCATCACGTATATTATGCGTGGACTTTATCAGTGTTCTGCGATCTTCTGGTGTACACACTACTTAACAGCGATATTGATTTGTCTTTCTGTTATTTTTAGTCCCTCGTTTCCAGCTAATGTGTCAGAAATGGCGATCGTTCCGTACGATTCCTCAGCAATCTTTCTAAGTGCATTCCACGCCAAAGAAAGAAGTTTCGAATTCGGTGGGAGAACCCTCACAATCTTTCAAAATTGGAACGATGTTGGTGTTGCAGCTGTCGTTTGGGATGCAGCAATCGTTCTTGGTCATTATCTTGAGAAGATTGTCGCTCAACTTCATGGGAAGAAAGTGATAGAACTTGGCGCCGGAACTGGGTTCGCCGGTATTGTGGCAAGTTTGCTCGGAGGAAATGTGACTATTACTGACCGAAAAATGGCCCTAAACGTTACGAGAATGAACGTGGAGGGAAATTTGGGCAAAAATCAAGATTCTGTAGAAATAAAGGAGCTTGAATGGGGACAAGACGTTTCATCTTTCTCGCCACCTTTTGATTTTGTACTAGGAGCAGACATTGTTTACATTGAGGAGACATTCAACGATTTACTGAAGACTCTGCAAGACCTTTGTGATGAAAATTCAGTTGTTTTAATGTCATGTAAGATACGTTATGATAGAGATAAACGGTTTTTTGAACTTCTTTCGAAGCACTTCTTGCATGAAACCGTTCTGTACGATCAAGAACTAGACATAGTTGTTTATCAAGCAAAAAAGATCAAATTTAAGCCTTAACACTTTGTACAATTATGGTGAAATTTGGTTTCTCAAATGGTTTTGCACCAAGCAAGTCACCAAACATATCGCAAAAGTTGGGCAAAAACCTCTTCTTCAAACGTGTTCATTTCTTGTGATCATATTTATATTTTATTTGACTGCAAGTAGGCCATATTGCAGATTATTTTTAACAATCATGCTTTACACTCACTTGATTTATCCGGGTAGCTGCCTGCAAGCTGCTTTCTGCTGGTATTCAAAAGAATAAAGAAGAAGGAAATGCGATTTTGTCTTTCTTTCTTCAAATCATGATGGAGAGTAGTATCAGTCCCATTAACTGATCTTTTCAAGTCGATGTTAGGAAAATTTATTCTCATATACATTGTGTAACCTTGTCATTTTTGGTTGGTTGAGAGTTATTTCATGCATTTTAACTTTTTTCATGATCAGTTACACCAGTGATGATGTCATCAGGCCACGCCCATGGTCATGTGACTCATTCTGGAAGCATGTAAAGGCTCCCAAGCATATTACTTTATTGGGATATTTTCACTTTATTTAATATTTTAACTTTAATCTTTACCACACTATACATAGATTTTGTTTCATTTCTAAAAGGCCACATTGTGAAAGAATTTCGAAATATTGAAAAATTGGTAATTTTCTGAAAAAGGGATGATTTCACAAAAGAAGTGTATAGCTACATTTCCAACGTTGGCTTAAATTGTAACTCGTCAAGAAAAGCTGGATTTAATGAAAAACTGCGTTTCCTTTAGCATTTAAAGAAACTGGAAGTGCTCGAGATATCTATCGGAAGTTACCCTATCAGCAAGTGTGCAGTTTACACTACCAGCAGCTCAATAAGATCAAATGAAGCCCATGAAAGCCACATAGAGATGGGTTTCCTTTTGTGCTTGTTTTTCTGTGTTTCTCTTAGTTTGTTTTTGCCTGTACTTTCTTCATTTGAATTTAGTGAAACCCAAAGGAAAAACCTCTAAATGTACCCGAATTTGCAAGTTGTTGAATTGTTTAAATTTTCCTCGCTCAGGCTGACACTAGCAAAATTTCACCTCCTTAGCAACGTGTGCAAGTACGCACATGAATTGATCAATGGGCCCTTAAAATGACAAAGTCTATGCCTTTCTAATTGGTTTCATGATTGGATATCTGACTTCTGGTGCAATTTTAAATATGAAGCCTGGCGACCACGGAGATTGATTTACTTGTGAACATAAATTTACTTGTATGTTACTTGTATGTTACTTAAGGCCGTGGTCTTGAGTGGCTGTAACTTTCTATTCACAAATCGGAAAAAAGTAGATGAAATGCGTCCAGAAGATCATCTGCCTAAAAGAATAAGTTTTAACCCTGCTTCTGACCCAGCTTGGCAAGAGCGTCATTAATCATGTTGATTCTAGCCTGCATAGCATCAAAAAGGGGAGGGGAGGCAAAGCGTGGATGGAAGGAGGGGGGCTGCACTTCTTCCTCGTGTTTCTGCCCCCTAACCTTTCCCCCTTTCTGCCTGCAACACAGACTATATTGATTCTGAAAGTGTCAAAAGCATGTGCAGTTGACACAGTAGTATGGAGTCCCCTGGAATATATCCTTCTGTACTTATTTTCCCTTTCCCCTTTCATCAAAAAAGACCTGCCTGATCGCGGGTAAACCAGATTTGAAAAGCAATAATTTGCTGCCAGGCGAGGAATAATTTGCACTGTTAATTTTTCATACAACTATCTCTAAATTTTCCTGCCAATTGCGACTTGTGTTTTATAGACAAATTTATGGAAAAATGAAAACCTTCATCATGACTTTCTAATAAGGCTATTTCCCTCAAAATGTAATTTGTAAATTCTTTTATCTGTTAGCTTTTGACTCATAAATACTTCAGAACTTGAATTTTCTGTGAGTTGTTAGACATAAGATTCTCTATTTACCTCATAAATTTACTGTCATTTTTGTCATGTTTTTGCCCCCCAAGCAAGATGGCGTCAGAAACCATAAAAAGGTCTATTAGGCATTCTTTTTTGTCTGCTTCTGTCTTCTGCCACCACAAGATAGAATGCCTGATCAAAGGCTACACTTTAGGTTGCTTCATGCAACATTTACAGACCTTTATCAGAGACAAGACACCACCAACTGTAACATAAAAACGTATTTTTATCAAAAATTAAAGTTGTACACTTGTGTTGTACAATGGAATCAATCAATCTGACCAATAACAGGCCACTATACTCTAGTATTAAAGAGTGGCCATATTTAAGGGTTTGGTTCTGCAATAAGAAAATGTGGAAGGCAAGGTGTCATCATGGTTACTGTATTAGACTCCTGATGAAATAAAAAATATTTCTGGCTGGTACATTTTTTAATTTTTGGAAAGATTGCAAAAAGCTGTAAAACCTAGCTTTATTTCTGTCTCCTTTCTTTTGCTAGCTTAACTGATCGATCACAATCTTGAAATATTAACTTTGATTTTCAGGGTACGATCTTGTTTTCTTTGTGTTTGTAATCTATTTTTTTTAACCAACAGTTATGGGAGACATTAATTTCCAGTACGGGTTCCTTGATGTTAACATTATTTTGCCTCAAGTTAGCAGATAGGAGGATGATATCTTTTCAAAATGGTTTCAACATTGTGAACATCTATCTAGACTTGACGGTCTTATTTCGGCCAACAAGCCAAGGTATAATCACTGATGTACACTGTTGTCTGACAGCCCCATTTATTTTGTCTGTCATCTGGTAACCAAACACACATCAAGCATACAAAATTTTGCCCGACAAGTTGGACAAGGAGATGTACTGGCCAGCCACCTCTCAGGCTGGTGCTGGTCCTGTCGACTTGCAAACCATTTGCCCATACAGTCTATACACCACATAGGACGGCAGTAGCAGGGGATGCATTCTCCCTCGCCAGACAGTGCACACAGCTTCTGTAATTTGATGTTGGCAGGTTGCTGCATGCAACCAATACAAGGTTCTGGATCCTTAGGTTAAAAGAAAGAAATGATGTAGTCATGTTCAGGCGTAAACATTTCATAATTATGTTATAAGTTATATGTTACAAGTGATTATTGCTGCTCATTCCCTAAGCAGCAAAGGATAATTTGTCATTTAGTCAAGTTGATGAAGCCGGGATACATGAAGGCTTAAGGTTTCTCCATTAACTGTCTATCTCATGCTGTGTTAATATATGGTGTGCATATTTCTGTCAAGTAATGCAGCAATACAATTTGTTTTGCTCCATTTGTCAACTATAGCACTGAATTCAGATGAGATCTTAAGAGGCTGTCTCTGTAAGAACTGACCACTGATTTTACTTCGAAAATTNATCATTGCGCCGTGGGATGCATAAGGCCTTAATATCAATGGTATAGCTAATTAATAAGTATTTAATACCACAAGATGAGATGACATGTTTATTGTCATCAAATTTTGATGACAATAAAATGTGAATTATAATATATAAATAAATAAATAAATCTCAAAATATATAAGAAAGGTGTACAAGTGATCAACTAATATACACAAAAAATGAATTTATCTTAGCGAAATATCACTCCATAAACCACAGTTTCCTAGATGTTATTTACGTTCTTAAGTCTTTAGTCTTGAGTATGAATGTATGTCTATTTATGAATCTCTATTCCAGAAACATGAAGCACGTGGGTGCAACTTTCACTCACCACAAGAGTCACAAGACGACTAAGATGTACAAAGTCAAATTTACCTTAAGAAGCTTATCTAGTTCAAAAACCCTGTCAGGGAAGAAATTTTTCACTGAATCTTCAGCCTGAAAAAGAAACGAAAACATTCCAGTAAGCTAGGTAATGAAACAGCAACAAACAGATTTCTTCTCTGCGTTGCGTCATGACTACGTACATTGAGTCATAAAATCGAGCTAAACACAAACCTCTTGTCTGACGGTTTCGTGAAAATCTGTAAGCTGAAATCCAGAAAAGAGAACAATTGGTAAAAAGTACAAAAACGTACAACAAAACGAATTTTGAAATGAAGTAAAATGAAGCAGAAAGTTGCCGGCAAATTTTGAGAAAGTGGCCTTGTGAATTTTTCTGAAATACGAGCTTATCACAAATGAAGTGGCAAAAAGGGAAACGTGAAAAGCACGAAGTCGTTCATTACCTTTCCTTTAGACGAGTTCATATTAAAATCTGGGATGTAGAAACCACGAGGAAATTGGAAAACGAGTGAAAATTAATGATAACCTTACGCAAACAGTCAATTTCGCGGCTTTTTTTCAACGAAGACCGCTGAACATCGCCGAACACTACTTACCTGCTTTACCATGATGCAGTTCGGGTAAATGACTTAGTCAAGCCCAGTTCCTTGCCCAACCCAGACAGGGCATTTTTGAGAACGAGGCTACATGGTGTTTGTTTTACGAAAAAGACAACAACGAAGTGCGTCTGTAACGCAAGCTAAGTTCGAGCAGTTTAACAGTAAAGTCTTCTTTAATCCTTGTTTAGTGCTTGAAAGTATCCTGGCTTGGTAGTCAAGCTTGATAACTGCCTGCAAAAATGAGCGATGATAAGTTTCGAGACGTCGTTGCTACCTGGGATATCGCCCTCGCCGACGGCAAACATAGAATTCAGTTTGAACACGGTACCACCACTGGAAAGCGAGTGATCTTAGTTGATAATGTAGAGGTTGTACGGAATAATTGGATGTTTAGACTTGTGGGAAAGGAGAGTTTTAATGTCGGCGGCAAAAGAGCAACGATTCACATCGAAGCTGTCAGTGGGTTTCAGTACGAATACACTCTGGAAATTGATGGAAAACCGCTCAAAAAGTTCGTGGAAAATCGCAAGAAAACTGCGAAAGTGTGGACGTTTCTTTTAGATGGAGTAGAAACGCGAATGGTACTAGGTAAGTAAGGGGCTGTGTCTAAATTGCGTCTGTCAGAATTATACAAATCTATTATTTCAGTATACAATTTCATTCGAGTTTGACATTTTAAAGCCAGGCTGTCAGGTGTACTGAGCCGACAGATCCGTAAGATAAGCGAGTCTGCACGCAAAATTAGCTCGGTTGGTGTCAACGAATAAAGAAGCGTTTCCTGTACAGGCGCGGCAGTACACTCCAAAGGTGTAAACATTGACTTTTCTAACTGTGACATGTTGCCTTTAATGTGACGTTGAAATATAATGTTAGGTGTTCGCAGATTGCTAATTCTTAGTTTTTCAAATCAAGTACCAAACTGAGAAGCAGCTGTCGTTATTAATGTCAAATGCATATTTTAAAAGTGCCTGACTGGCATGAAGTTTCAAAATCATTTGAATGATACTGCTAGTCCTGATACCTTGTACATGACAGTGAAAAACAAATTTGAATAACAATTTGAATCTGATTTGGAACATCTTGGTGTAAAAGGTAGGTGGTTCTGTATAACTTCTTGTTGTTGTTAAATAGAATATAGGAAAAGTTAAAAGTTTGATGCCCAGTAAGTTGAGACTGATCGTCTCAGTATTTTATTAGTTACAGGAAACAGATACCCAGCAGAAGACATTTTTGGTCAAATTTGAAAAACTTAGATTTGCTGAGGAGCGAGGAATTGCACTTTTATTTTTTGTGTGGATGTCTCTAAAACTTCCCACAAATTGTGAATTGATTTTACAGACAAATGTATGGAAAAATGAAACCCTTAATTGTGGCTTTTCTAATGAGGCTATATCCCTCAAACGCAAACAGTAAATTCTTTTACCTAGTATCGTTAGTTTTTAATTCATAAATACTTCAGAACTTGAATTTTCTGTGAGTTTTGCCGTGTTTATCCTCCAAATAAGATGGCATCAGAAACCATGAAAAGGTCTATACAGTCTGGTGGCAAGCAACTGGAATCAGCTGTATCGTGACCATTTTTTAATAAACTGTTTTTAATAATTTGATGACAGAGTTGCTGTGACAGATCAAGCCTCCCACATTCTAACCAGGCTGGTTTTTTTTGTTCTTTTTTATATGGTGTAATTTGTATTTGATCTGTTTGCTTCAGTAGACCTTTTTAGCTTGGGCAGTTTGTTGCCCCATTTCAGAACATACTCTTGAGAATTCTTCCTTTGAAATTTTTGAATAATCATGTGTATATGAATGGAGAATTTTTGTTGATTGAGAACAATTCTCTGGGGAATATCACGTGGTCCGTAATGGGAAAACAAACGTCCCAATCTAAAAAGGTGTAATATTATGTTGATGTTGGCAATGATCCAATGCAAGTTACCTTGGTAATGCTTATCCTTCCAATGCAAAGCCCTCAAAAAGAAACTTGTTAACTTAATGGTGGTTCACCTTCATGAGCGTCACATCCTTTAAGAAATTACTATATTCCTAAGCTTGTCCAATGAGCTGTCTTACCACTTAAGGAATGTTTGATTTTCTAGAGAAAGACACCATGGAAGTGTGGGTGAATGGAGTTGTCGTGGAAACTGCTGTAAGTATTCATTATTTTAAATCTTGTTGTGTCAGTAATAAAATTGACAACAAGGAGTACAAATGTACTACTGGCTTTGTAAAGTTTAAATGCATCTGGGTCCAACCCAGGTTAACAAAGATCTTCCCAAGCTCAAGGCATTTGTCAATTCAGATATCAACAAAGAATTTTACAAGCCTGATTTATTGTACATTGCTTTTCTAAGATGACGGATTGACATTGAAGTCATAAAACATGTACAATAAACTGTTTTGCAAATGAATATATGAAAGATCACATATTTGAACTGCCGAGAAAGAGTTGAAGACATGATTATTCCAGTTGTGTGTATAACTGCGATGATTATGTCTTCATATCTTTTTCCACAGTTCAAATAATTTGTGTGATCTTTCATATATTCATTTGCATTCTTCATCATCTACAAGTATATTACAAACTCACAATGTGACCAGCTCCCAGTTGGCTTGATAGCTCAGTTGGTAGAGCACTGCACTGGTATCGCACCTGTATCGCATGCCGGGTTCAAATCCCGTTCAGGCCTGAATTTTTTCAGGCTTCTATTTCACAACTGCTTAAGTTGTGTCTATATATAACTGCAATGATCAATCATGTCTTAATAAACTGTTTTTGTTGATGCTCTGCTTGTATGTCAGCAAAGATGTCAGCAGAACATGTTGGTGTTCTCAGATATTTTATTCCAAAAATTGTATGTCATATGTAAACTGATAATCAGTAGGAAAAGTGTTAAATTATACTCTCTCAATGCATGGATTATTTTCAGGGTGAATTTGTCGATGATGGAACAGAAACTCACTTTGAGTGGGGGAAGCACACATGTTACATCAAAGCCATCAGCTCAGGCAGGAAAAAAGATGGAATTATTCACTCACTTATTATAGATGGCAATGAAATACCCGAGGCAGTTGATGAATGAACTGTTTATACATAGAAGTCTCACACAGTAAATTTCATTTGTCTGGAAAAAATAGTCATCGTAAGTTTATTTTAATAACACTTTTTTGTGTGTTCGGTAAATTTGTTTGTAAAAATTTTACATGACAATGCAAACTATAAATTGGAGGTTTTTTCTCTTACATGGGAATGTACTTTGGAACCCAGTTAATAGGGCGACAAAGGGACACAGAGAAGTGTCTGTATTATCTGCGCATCTTTATTAAGTGGGCTGTTAGAATAAACCTGACAGACACAGGTGTTATTGATGCAACTGGGACGATTTGTAACTTAACTGTAACTTAAGTTCAAACTAAACTTAAGAAGCCTGTTTTTGGTATGGACGTGGTGTCATCATTTCTAAAATCAAAAACTAAAGAGTCACCGAAGTTATTTTCCTCATCAGGCATAAGAGGTGGTAAAGTTACATCTGTTAACAACAACTTTCTACCTCAATACATGTAGCTTGCTTCTTCTGAAAAAAAAAGGCACATTTTGAATTTCAGTCATGGTGGTGCATGATATAAAGCGATGAACCTGTTTGTCAAAAAACATAAATTATACTTATCTCATGATTTTTAGCCATTTTAGATGTTAAAGTATTAGGAAAAGTGCTTATTTAAATGTTTGCTTGATCAGTTCAGATAATCAGTTGCCTAGCTTGCCAAAGCACCAGATGTTTACATTATTTTCTGGCTACCATGTCAGTATACCATGGAAGTAAACCAACATGGCGGCTCCAAACTGGGCTCTGTAAGATATTTCAATGAATATTTGAAGTTTGGGGAAATGTATGGACCTGAAACTTGGAGAAGTGTCTTCTTTATTTCTCTCCTATAACATCATAATTTCTTGACTTTATACATTGAATGGTTTTCAAACTATTTTTTTTTATTGCACATCAGTGCAAACTGAGGATTGTTCATTTGAATAGTGTGTCATATCAGACCAGATTTACTGTAGTAATAACAATGCATTAACCTGTAGAAAGCTTTCATTTTCTGATGATATGATTTGCACATGATGACCATGATGGCAACATATACGGTACAGTGTAAGAGATATCCAGAATCCATATCTAGTTAGGTAAACTTTTTATAAATGCAGATTACTCAGG